GTTTTAAGACATGCAAGAGCGCATTTATCGCGATCGCGCGACCCAGTGGGGCGATAATGATGGGGCGCTACACCGCCAATCGGTGAACCGCCTTGACAACAGAATTCAAATGGACCGCGTTCACACAGTGCCAATTTGAATTGTGTCGTAGTGGTGGAGTGCCCCGCTCAGGATCGCGCGATCCGGTAGCGCGATCGCGAACTCTGAACGCACTCGCAGACTCATCCACAGTGACCCCCATTCGAATCCAAAGCGAACAAAGGCAAAGAATTCTGAGTAAAAGCCATCTTCCTTCGGTAAATATAAAAGCACATATTCAAAACAACGAGCAGGTCATACTTCTACACGCATCGGCCAAACAACACATATATTACATAACACATCGGTCCATACAAACAAGCCAAATGGTGTGATAATGCATCCTGACTGAACTCACTATAATACATCTTTTTAATGAGGGGAATCTTTAACATTGTTTTAACATATTGATCAAATAAAACAAAAACAGAACAAGACAACGGTATCCGGTCAATCTTCAGACTATGAGAAGTTCACTGTTTGACGTTGTGAGCATTCTACCAAAACGAAAAGAAAATGAGACACTCGAGTACAAAAAACATATTACTGGGAACTAATATGGGTGACAATACTGATACATAAGAAAAACAGACATACTTCATTCCATCAGCAGAACTTCCAGCGATTACCACATTCAAGACAGAAAACAAAAGTGGTCATCGGCTCGTCAGATGATCGAGTTTGAAGTTGAGTGTATGTGCAATTCTTCTTACCACACTTTCCACATTTGAACATATCCGATGGAGTGCCTAGGATTTAAACGATACTCAGAAGCAGAACAAAATGTCCAACCAACTGCGTAAAATATTAGGATGTACTTTTCGTCAGTGTTTCAGCGTTTTACGTGAAAAGGAAAGAAAGTGGAAGAAAAGAAAAAACGCCAGCGTTCTGAAGGTTCTAATTTTTGGGTCAGAACGCTCAAAATGCTTTGAACGCAAGTCTGCTCTAGACAATTAGTTGGCAGACAGATCGCCACAAGCCTCGAACGAAAGGCCACGTTGCGCTACTTCGCGACAGTACTTCACGTAGCCTACTTGCCAGAAAATTGCCGAACTTGGTTGGGAAGTTATAAACGCGTTCATAATTCGTGACGCAGGAAGATAGAGGACTCGGAGAATAGGAGATTGCGTGCAAGGGGAAGCACGTGCATCGATTGGGCCCAGACTTTCTTCAGCGCGCATCCTCCCATTCTCCTAATCTCATATTCTATCGAGTCGCAAAGTACTCGGCCAGACTAGGTTCTGCCCAGCTTTGTTTCGGCGATTGGAGCTGTTTTTATAGAAGAAAATTTCCGGATCCTAGAGAGAAAACTGGCGAGATTTCGCGGTTACTCGCCTCGCAGCCGCCAGACTTGGAGACTACTGGAATGACAGGTTTCACCCCGAATCGAGAACGGAGTTTTCCAGCGTCATTGCAAGGAACTTTGTAATGAAGCCCACTGTCGGGACCCCTGGCTCAAGGCAAATGATGCAAAATTTGAGCTTTCTCTTCGCTTGGCGGAGAGTATCTTTCCTGAGGAAAGCGGTGGAGCAGTAGTGCGTACGCTACTGTTACAGATGCAGACTGACCTATACATCGGTCAGTGCAATGTAGTTCCCATTTGTCCCCAAAAGGAACAAGGTGTTCGAGCGATTACGTACCAACAAAACTTTTGGTGCCAGTCCTGCTGGGAAAAGCCAGAGCACAGAGAGATAGACTGCGGTTTCCAAGGCATCAAGATGTGCAAAGAAGTTGTCGCGAGCCAGGAGATCAGTTTTTTTTGGAAGGGAGAGAACACCCTAGAGGGTGGGTCACTTTTCTGCGTGGAAAGTTGGAAAGTGAAAGGTCATCGTCACAGAACGCCTTGCAGACGTGCGAACGCTGAGAAAAACAGAAAGTTGACTTCATCAAAGGATTTGGGTTTTAGTTGTATACCTGCTCGGACACCCTTGTACAAAACATGAAGAAAAGTGCAACAGGTGAAAACGACAGGAGATTTGTGGACAAAACCCTGTTCCCTTGCTTGGTTGAGCTAGAATGTATTACTGAGAGTTTCAATACGGTGCATGTTGGCTTGCCATTCAGTCACTTGAACATTTGTTGTTCGATAAACGGGGTAATTCACGAAGAGTAATTAACTATTATAGTCTAGTTGGCCACGGAGTAAGGGGGTGTAAGGCTAAGTGCCAAACCCATTCCCCAACAGCCATTGAAGCAAGCAAGTGACAAGATCGTATCATATCGTTCATATCACTCTTTTCGGCGCTGTTTGTCGACGGGGGGGGCATTTTGTATTATCATTGCTTCCCTAGTTCCGGTTTACAAATCTCACTCTGGTAAAACTTGTGAACTCTTGTGAAGCTGAAGTAAGATCGTCTAGCCACTATCCTAAAACGTGTCAACTCGGCTGCCTAGATGGGTCGACACATCTATGGAAAGCAAAATGCCCCCCCCGTCGACAAACTGCGCCCTCGTTTTCTACCGAATGTTGTCGCAGACCCGCTTCAACAATT